GGCGAGAGGCGGAGAGAAGCGAGAGGCGAGAGGCGGAGAGAAGCGAGAGGCGAGAGGCGGAGAGAAGCGAGAGGCGAGAGGCGGAGATAGGCGAGAGGCGAAGATAGGCGAGAGGCGGAGAGAAGCGAGAGGCCAGCACGTTCTTCAAAGACGTGAGGAGAGGCCAGGAGGCGGGGCGGAGCGGAGGGATGGGGTGGTGGGAAAGAGAGGTGTAGAGGTTGGGTAAGTTAGGCCAACGTGGCGGGGTCGAATCAGTGAGGCGGGGCAGACCCGGGGTGCAGGGGAGCGGCCAGCACCTTCCTCGAAGAGGTCCTTGATCTTGCCCGCCGTGTTCTGCTCCACCCACGTGTTGATGGCGCGCCGCGAGGCGTCGGTGGCGTTGACGAAGTCGAGCTCCTCGGCGCCCGCGCGGAAGCTGCCGGTGGCCGTGCTCCTGAAGGACTCCTTCAGCCCCAGGCCGGCGTGCGCGTACAGCCGATTGGCCGTGCGGAGTACCGCCTCGCCGTTGTTCTGCAACACATTTTTCCGTATCAAAAATATCGGTAATTTAAACGTTAACCTTACAGATTTCTTAATCGCATGGTAAAGGACGTCAAAAGTCGAGTTTTTATACCTGAATGTATGATGCTCAATGCTACATAATACCTTTTGGAAATTAGTTCTTATGATGCGTACCACCTCTCACTATTTTGCCACAAACGCGAGAAGTGGAAAGCCACTGCAGAAGGCCACTGCAGAAGGCCACTGCAGAAGGCCACTGCAGAAGGCCACTGCAGAAGGCCACTGCAGAATGCCCCTGCAGAAGGCCCCTGCAGAAGGCCACTGCAGAAGGCCCCTGCAGAAGGCCCCTGCAGAAGGCCCCTGCAGAAGGCCCCTGCAGAAGGCCCCTGCAGAAGGCCACTGCAGAAGGCCACTGCAGAAGGCCACTGCAGAAGGCCACTGCAGAAGGCCCCTGCAGAAGGCCCCTGCGGAAGGCCCCTGCAGAAGGCCACTGCAGAAGGCCACTACTCGGGAGCGTGGCTCCATTTCTTCCGTTTAACAGATGTCATCTAGACTCTCCATAGCTCGCAAAAGGCTGGGCTCAGAGTACCTGCAGCGAGTCGAGAAGCGCCCCGTAGCCAGAGGCCGTGGTCTCGCGGTCGGTGCTCAGCTGCAGGGCGGAGGCGATCTGCTGCTCAGTGGCGCCTGCGGCTCCGTGGCGGGTGAGCGCCAGCAGCACTGCAGCGCTCAGCGGGGAGATCACCACGTTGCTCGCATTTGCTTTCACCGCCTAAACACAATAATACACTGATAGATAGTGCCAAAAACATTATGATTCCTGAAAAGCAATGTTTTTTTAAAAGAGAGTCTTACGCTTTTGGATTTATTGTCTGCTGATTTTGCGGACATCAATGTTTTAACGAGAAACCATTATTATACTACCAAACCCAAGTGTATGAGATATTTAGTTTTTGTTTAAAATATACTCATGTTATATCAGAACTGAAATTTCAAGCAGCACTATTTCTTTCTCATATATTTATTGAACATTTTCCATGGACTCTGAAATAATGCAGACGTGCAGAGTTCTGATAGATTCATATGACATTTAGTACAAGTATGAGAGTATTGAAGTAAAAATTGGACATATGAATCTTTCTGAAATGACGACACAGAAATATGTCACTGAAGCATTACTATTTGATAATCTATATGTAACAAGGGAGTATTCAAAAATACGTTCACAAAAAGACATTTTTAATATCTCATACACTGAAAACACACACACTGAAAAGATACTTCGTTAAAGGAATAGTTGAAATTTCATTCAATTATTTTTATTCAAATCGGATTACATAATCAGGTTATTTGTAATATTTTATGGATAATAGTCAATATAACAATGATTTATATAAATATTACCAAAGATCTCGCTTTCCAGTAATTTTCTCTACAGTGGTTGGAACCTCACCGTTTAAATTTGAATTAATTTTTGAAATTTCTCATCGTCACACATCAACGTATACTGGGATATTGAAAGATGAACTGTGGAGCCAATTCAAGTTTTGGGGCACTTGTTTAAATACTATTGTAAATTCCTTGGCGGTAATAGTGTTGGCAGTCAACAGTTGGTACCACGGTACAGTTTAACAAAATGGCTGGCAACGGTGTTTGATTAAAACAACGTGCCTGTCTTGAATTCTTAAAAATGGAAGGTCAAACGCTTATTCCCTTCCTTGAACGTTTAAAGAACGTTTTTGGAGATGCTGCAGTGGATGTTAGCACTGTGCGCAACGGGGTAGGGTACTGACAAGAGGTCCAGAAAGAGACACCGAAGGACTTGTCCTTGCATTTGGGCTTCGGAGCGATCGTCCACACACTGCAGCCACACCGACGAATACGCAGCGCATCGATGACATCGAAAGAGTTTTTCAGGAATCCACCAGTGAGTTGTGCTCTATGATGTCGATTGAAACGGGTAGCAATGGCTACTGTTGAACATTTTGGCGACTCAAAAGTTTGTGATCGATACGTGTTCAGAATTCTGACTACCCAATAAATATTCATGGGAAAAAATAGCCGCCTATCTCTAGCTCCGTCATGAAATGGAAGGACAATATTTCTCAACAAAGTGTGCTACAGATGACGAAACGTGTATAAATTTTTTGAACCAGATGCAAAGACATTCTATAGAATGGTGCCAATTCACGATACCGAGATGAAAACCAGATGGGCACTATTTGCAGGGAAATCTTCTTCTGAAATGCCGAGGAAGAAAATATTGTACACCGTTGAAGAAGGAAACTACAAAGTGAACGATTTGAGACCGACGTTGGCAATTTTATTCTTCGAAAACGCAGTCTGATATTTTTCTACTTCGCAAAACAAGCCATGCACATTACCTCGCACAAACGCAGCAATTGCAGAATTTCAGTGGTACGTTTGAGTTATCAACATAAAGGGTCGTTGGGAATTAATCACGTATTTAAAAGGAAAAAAAATCCATGCCAGGGAAGCTATGACTTTTGGTGAGAAATCTTTCCTTTCTAGACTTTAAAATCTTTATGATTCTACACGCTTATTTTTAAAATAATGTTTTTTTATTATGTAAAAGAATAATCAAATTCTCATTCAATTAACCGAAAAGTAAATTGAGAAATGTTTTTGCTGCGACAATATATCGCCAATTGCTCACATACTCTTTGGTAAAAAGAAATATTTTTAAATTATATGGAGAACAAAGAAATATAATACTATAATGGAAGTTACTTAGCAAAATGTAAAGTATTTAAAAAGAGGTTTGGCATATGAGCACATGCGCTTGTAGAAACTTATTTTCTTTGAAAAATATAGGAGAATTTAACTTTTAGCCCATTTTACTGGCCACTTGTAAAATAATTAGTGTGCAATAATCTAATAATATGAAACTTCATTTTGACTCCTGTCCTAATTTAGCAAACAATTTTTTGTTAAAAAGAAAAAGTTCATATCTATTAACGTTTGACGCATATGACTTACATTGCTCCTAATACATTGAACGAGCAGCAATGAAGGTCAAAGTCACTGCTATCTCTTCTCCGAATATTAGTTCAAGGGTAAGTGATAAGAACTTTAAATAACCTCTGCAGACCAACAGAACAGATGCAACAAAAATTTAAAATCTTCGTTTTATTTCCGTAATGATGTTAAAGTTCCCATTTAGGATAATTGTACCATAGTTCAAATACGTACACCATATAAATGTGAAATGTAAATTTGAACACCATTCAGGCATCCTTTTCACAAAAAAATTACTATTAACAAAAATAAGTCTTCATCAAATAACAACCCGTAAATGTTTTGATAGAGAGTGATTTGTGCAAGAAATAAAGGTTTTTAGAAGCTTTTCTCTATTAGTAATTTGTTTAACTCAGAATATTTTGCAACAAGAACAACCCTCCGATAAGGCTTTTTTAATGTAAGTCCCACTTTATGATCATTTCAATTTTTCCTCACAGTAACTGTTTTATTAATTTATTTTAACAATCAACGTTTTTGGTGAATGGAAGTTTCGAAAATTCTTTTTTTTCCCACTAGGATTTCGAATTAACCCTAGAATGTCTACGAAGGGCCTCTAAAGCCCTAATGATTTTTATTTCACTTTTTACGTTGCACAGTTGCATTTCTAAGAGCTTGCCCATTGAGAAATCTTTCTTCTATCTTTCTACTTTCATTTTAGTCACCGGCAAAGGACACTTTCTCAGGAGTTAAATAGGTAGAATCTGAAATTCGATTATATTACATAAGCGCATATACAAGGCTTTTAAGGCCAAATCAATGGATATTTCAATTTTTTTCAATTAAGAGATGGCATTTATCGAAATTATTAAGAAATGCTGTTATTAAGAATTAAAAAAATAATGTGCATTTTTCGGGAGAGAACTGCGCAGGGTCTCAGAGGCCCTGTGTATGCATCCTTGTATTTTCGCGGGTCCACGCAACACAGGCTTAAACATATGACTGAAGCCATCATTTAATCAATGATGGCTTTAGTCAAAGTCTTTAAATCTACACAAATGGACACAAGATAGTGTTTAGAAGAGTGCTACATAGTGCCATACTTTCTGTTTTCGCGCTGGCTGTTCTATTGCCGCTCACCTGGTAGAGGCGCAGGGAAAAGGCGTTGGCTGCAGCGGTCACTGCTTGCCTCGCGACCTCTGACGCGGGCGGGGTCGGGGGCGCGGGCGTGGGCGTTGGAGTGGACTCTCCAAGCGCAGCGAGCGCTGCAACAACGGAACAAACACACATTCTCGCCGCACATCCACGACGTCCCGGAAGGAGGAATGATGTTTATTTCATCATTCATTATCTTCATAATTTCATCCCATCCCCAAGGGCTAACAACCCTGGGGTATATAAATGAAATCAGCAATAAAACGCTGATTCCCACATGTAGAAAACGCGTGATTCCTACCTCTAGTAACGTGCACCTACCACAATAATAAAGCCTGAGCCCCGGTGGGATGCACTGGGTATCGCGTGATCCCATGAAGGCCGACTCACGAAACAAAGTATATAAAAAAATCAATAATTTGTAATAATAAATATTATTATTAATAATTAGTACAAATATTAGAATATTAATACAGAAATAACTAACAATAAGAACTAAATTCATCATATGAATAATTAATTAATTTAATTATAACTAATAATTTTAGCATTAAACTTTCCAACAATAAAAGTACCATTAACAAGAAATCGATCAAATCAACATATATTATTTTTAAGTGAAAGAATCATTAATATATGAAAAAGGAAGGAATCAAAAATATTATTTTCGTTGTACAATATTAAAAACAATAATGTAAATCTATTATTAGTTTCTGCGTATATTTTGAACATCTTTTATTTTATTTTTTCATTCTTCCAAGTTTTCTGATAAGAATTCTGCTTACTCAACGAATATGAACAGTGAAGTCGTTTTACTGTCATTGTTGATATTAATAATTTCTATCCTACGCAACGTGATGAATGACCACTCAGAGAAATGTTGTTTTGCATTAATATCAGATGTTTTTAAAAAATGTGTTATATACACTTAATCGTATATTATATCAAAGAATAGGTGGGAGGGTACTTGTTCCGCTCATTTAACAATACAAGTAGCGCTCTTTTTGAACAGCAAACGGGACCACGTAGCAATATCCTTCTATCATGGCCACCTGAAGTTTCATTCATTTCTAATCCTTTCAACGTATCGTTCTGTCGTGCGAAGGTTATGTGTGTGCTGATGTCATTGTGAAGAAATGGAATAACGAATAAACATCAAATTTTGTTAAAAAATGGGGAAATCGGCCACGGAGACTTATGAAATGATTAAATCTGTGTACGATCAATATTGTTGTGAGTGGTTCACGAGCGTTTGAATGGTATTTGATGTTCAAATGTGGAAGAGAATTGACAGAAGATGAGAGGTCTGGGTGTCCGCGTTCACGTAGAATTGACGAAAATGAGTGTGCAAGGCGTTGGTAAAAGCCATCCCGCCGAGTGACTATTAGAATGATCAGTGTGCTATTTAGACATGTAGTTCTTTTTCAGAGTTGGGAGAAATTTTACGAGTATAACGAAAATGAGTAAATATTGTTTAACCATTCATTGACACGATTAATATTGCCAAACAAAAAGAATAGAATAAACGCACATACGTCACATTTGGGGCACGGACCAGCAAAGCACTTCATGTTACTATCCACCGAGACAAATGAATGGCACAAAATAACGGAAAGAGTGGAATAACGAATGGATCAAAAAAATAATTGACCTGTTTGTTGAAGCAGCACTGTCATGAAACTTATTGTCTGTTTCGAACGAACAGGTTGAAGTTTGTTATAGACTATTGTTCGATACCAACCTGCATATAAGAGCATGAATATGCCGGCGAGTTTATTATTCAATTTTCAAATGAAAAAATTTAAAAGATAAGTTGTGCAACCCCACTTAACGGTATTATTATTATTATATTATTATTATTATTATTATTATTATTATTATTATTATTATTATTATTATTATTATATGTCATTCATTTCTTACATAAGTTTGAATGAATCACTGATAGTGCACTGTGTATAACTTTAACAATTCGAGATCAAATTTAATACTTCCACAAAAGAAAATTATGTATGCTGATTAGTGCTGTATTTTTTTCCTTTCCCATGGTACCGAAATATATGGATGTAGCTAATTAACTGGGATTTGATGGCTTTTTTGCTCCTCTCCTATCAGAGTACGTAACTCATAGATTTTAAAAGTGAAGTATGAATAGGCTAAGCAAGTGCGAATAGGTGAAGCAAAATAATTTTGATCACATAGTGATGATGAATTTACATATATTGACGTCCGTTTTAAAAGAATAAAAATATGCAGGAAAGTAATGCGTTCTTAGAAAGTTCTTCTAATCACTCAATGCGACACGTTTAGGGCAAGTAAAACAATTTGGCGGCTAACTCTAATTTTTCGATAAATTTGCCTCTAAGATTTGTGTTATTCTTTCAACTTTATTTACAACGTCTTACAACAGCTGTTGTGGAGTTTACTTTTGGAAAAAATACGCGAAACGTCTTCAAAATCTTCACAATTCCTTCACTCATAAAAACATTTTAGGCTGGACCGACCAGATCCGTTCAAAGAAACCTCTCACTAACTCCGTTACAAAATTATTTCAATGGCAGGAGCTACTTACGGTATATTCAGACTTAAAATTTGTTAATTTGACCGCGCAACTACCACAATATTAACACACAAACGGAGGAGGGGAAGGGTTTAGCCTCCAAAGCCGCTAGCTGATCCCACACACAGTAAATGCCCGCCTTCGGTGAAACGTTGTTAGCGCACAAGAAACAGCGAAATAAAATTTTCAAGGTTTTCTGCAGTATGCAGTATTTTAGTTCTTGGAAACTGAGTCGTAAACCCACATTTAGATCTTCACGCAATAATCTTTCGACGAGATAGCTAGCTGTTCTATAACCACAGCATAATTATCGTACGAACTTTGTTCCCGTTTTCCGATAAACCCAAAAGCACGAGCCTGATCTTTCACCACTCACTTTCTCAGGTTCACACATCTATTAAAAATAATCATTTCATGCTATTATAATTTAAAAAATATATTGACGCAATATAATGAAGCGATATTTTTTCAACACAGCGAAATAGAAACTCATTTACACAGACACATGTTTCACTATTTCCTAAACTTTACGTAGAAAATTGTTGGTGACAATAACAATTTAGAAGTAAAGAAACACTCTTTCTGCATTGTTTAGCGGAGTTCATAGAAAGGCGCTAACGTCATATTTTTATCCCAGAAATACAGTTCTTTACCTTCAATGACTAGTACCTCACCTTCGGATTTGTCAGAAAACCACGTCGAAATGCGTAACTTAAACGCGAAGTTTTAGAAATGCTGCGAAGCTGCGAAAATATAGTTTTATAATATTTCTTTAATCCAACGGTAACCTAAACAATTACCAAATAAAACCCGTCAACACAAATTGATTCTTCTTATTTGACAGATATTTTCATTTGGAAGCCCACTGCATAACGTTTAATATATACGCGGTTTCGTCTGTTACGTTAGTGCACAGGATTCAAGACTACTTCGTCACAGCCATTTTGCTTCGCACATTAGTTGTGCCGTGCCGTGCCGTGTCGTGTCGTACATCACTCACCGAATGTAGTGAAGATCACAAGTGAAGCCCGCATGACGAAGAATCTCTCTGCCCCGACGCACTGCTACTTCTGCTGTGGTGGAGTCCGTCTGTCTCCTTTCATTTATTTATTCTCCTCTCCTTCTCTCTGTGACGTCGCCCCACGTGACCCAGCAGTGTTTCGTGAAGCAACGCTAGTCCAGTCGCCCTGGGCACTCAGTAACCTCGGTTTCCTTCAACATCCGATGGCAGGGAAAGTAAAACGAATTTCAGTACGACCTGTTATCTCTTTTCACAGAAACAAACACTAGTACGTGCGCGATTATATGATCTTGAAAACTTATTTATTTTCAAATATTTTCATTTGAAAACAATATGACTTTCAGGAAATGTCACACTCGAATTAACTAATAAAGAAAATGAATATGTTACTTGTTTATTATGATCCGGTTGGCACGCTAAAGTTACAATTGTTCTATTTAGAAGTTATTGATCTCCATATTTTCTCGACATGGTAAGACAATAGTATTTCCGGCAGAATTTCATAATTCGTTATAAATGGAACTTACACAATTTGATTATTATATATCATAACATTTTTTACTGCTACGTAAATCAAGATATTCTTATAAATGGTGCGAAATGGATAATTTGTTATGATTTCATTGAGTATGTATTTCCGTCAGTCTCTTCATTCTTCTGTTCTTCATTCTCTCAGTCATTCTGTCCATTAGTCTGTCCGTTTGTCTGTCGGTCTGTCCATTAGTCTGTTCGTTTGTCTGTCGGTCTGGTCGTCAGTCAGTCCGACTCACCTTCTGTCCGTCTGTCAGTCTCTCTGGTGAACCCTGACGCCTAAACTGTCAGCAGATTTTCTTCAAAATTGATATTCGTCAACCGGTTTAAAGGAACTTAAGGAGCTTTGTAGCTGAAATGAATATTTTGGTTTCAGGGATACTTTAGATGAAGTCGATAGAAAGCTTCTCGGGCTAAAGTGATTTGAAAAAAACTAGAACTAGAGAGGCATTGCTCCAAGTAATGCCCGCATGACGTTGAGCCTCCCCGCATGGTTGCAGTGCTGCTGCCTTAGTAATAAGTAGGCTTCCGTCTCATTCTCTTCTTATTCCCTGTGACGTCATCCCACGTGACCCGTTGGGTGGTGTTCTGAGGCTCATCTTTTGCCCCGAGCAGTCTGTATCGCGAATTTCTTTTTCTTCAGCATCCGATGGCTGCAAGAACGAGGGCAAGACAATGCTATTTCAGAACCACTTTTTTGTCATTTCACTTTAATATGGTAAAACCAGCGTTTCTCCCACAAGAATTAAATTCCATCTCCCTAAAATTTTGTTCTTCACTCCATATCTTTCTATCCTCTCACCTTCTTCTTCATTACATTAACAATAGTCCTCACAGAGGTGCCTAGAAGGAATGTCTTCGCTCAGAATTAGAAGTATAATGCGCTCAGATGTAGTTGCTCGTGCCTTCGGGCCTCAGTAGTGCATTCACCAATTGTATGTGTATGTATGTACTTTGGCACAGCAGCTCTTAACGAGCTAAAGTCTTCCAGCATTGTCCCGCCCTTGCGGCCATGAGTTAAGTAGTAAGTGTGGTTAACACGTAGTCATCCCTACGCTGTATTCGCGTCTTCTCAATCCGAGAATTGAGATTTATCATCGTCACACAGCAACATATACTGAGACATTCAAAGAAAAGCACACAATTAATTTTTGCTCCGACCGAAAATCGAACCCATGGTTGTGCCGTGGCAATGAAGCATGCTAACCAACGAGCCCCCTAGAGCATCCACCGCATTGTATAATAATTATAAGCTCACACTCACCTGGAGGTGGCAATCCCAGTGGTATGGCTAAATGAAAAAAAAAACGATTTTCTCAGAAACAATAAGACGTGCGTGTTTGGGTTATTGAAAATTAGAGATAAGTATTTCTCCTGGAAACAAGTTGACTTTCAAGAAATGTATCACTCTTATTAGTTGTGAAGATGCAGTCTCTATAGAGACGACCTCCTTCAGAATGCATTGAACGGTAAGAAGGCGAGACGGATATCAACACTACCTACAATTATTACTTTTCTGAGGAAAATATACTGCGAACTACTTTATGAGTTATTAATCGTTTTTATTTAATTTCATATACGTTAATTAAAATACAATATGTCTTCCAGGAATAGCTACATTCTAAATAATGAATAAAAATAATGTGTTGGGATTAAATTGGTATTATTTTATTCTTTATTCTGCTGCTGTGAAATAGTTCTAATTCTGAGTCACTTTTGTTCTCTATTTTTCCTTTGTATTGTGGTACGGAAATCTTTTCGGTAGAATCAGAAAATTCGTTATAAATGGAACTTATAAGCGCACAATTCGTTCGATGGGTACCGAAACATTATTTAATTGCTACATAGAACAAATCTCACTATTTAATGGTGTGAAATATAAATAGAATTGTTTCTAATAAAAAGTGCCGGGAAGGAATGATAATTTATTTCTTATTACAGAAAGCTTAACTTTCTTATTTATTTGCTAAAATTGCATTGTATGTATATATTTTGTGTACCAATGTTATAAAACACTTATAAAGATATTAAAAAACGTGTATATTTAAAAGGTAGTCCTATAGCAATGTTTCAGTTGATAAAAATGATTTCCTTTATAAATGTATTTTAGCAAGGAAAACAAACGTGATGTGCATAAGTGTGTAGGATGATTATTCAAAGTAACGTGTTTATACGTCGCGATACGTAGAAGTTGACTTTTCGAAAGACATTGTTTAATTTTTTTCTTTCATTTATTCACATAATTTAAATTCGGTACATTTGATTTTAAATTTGATTTGAAGATTGTATACGTAGTACATGATATAATTTCAACAGTTGATACAGTTCACGGTAACCTCATATTGAAACATCTACCTGGACTTATTCAAACACTGAAATATACTAGTTAGGTAGCGGTCTACCAGAAACGTACAATACCTTTACACGGGAAGACGGGCGTATCAAGTTCTTTCAAATTAGTGTCAAGTAGTTGTTATGCATATCTCCGTTTATGAATTGCGTATATCTTGCAAATTGTGAGGGTGGTCAATCACTTAAAAACATTTACATGAGTTTCTACAGTGCGATCAAAAACCTATCAACTAATGAATTATCTAGCAAGTATGCACAATTTCGGAAGGGTTTTCCCTTCTGAGTAATACTAAGGTATTAGTCTTGAAAAACGATTACACTGAATTACAAAATGTCTTCTTGTTTAACTTGTAAGATTTAGAAATATAAAGATATACTCTATGTAATCAAAAGTACCCGGACACTTTCAGTATGGTGGGGTTGCTTTTTTTTTTCATGGAGGAGGCTTGCATCCCTTGTTTTGTGTGGCACTATCACGGCACAGGCACAGTTGATCTTTAAAACACCTTCCCACTGTTGAAGAGCGATTCGGATATTTCAACTGCATCTTTCAACACGATCGAGCACCTGTTCATACTGCACGGCTGTGGCGGAGTAGTTACATGACAATAACATCCCTGTAATGGACTGGCCTGCACAGAGTCCTGACGTGAATCCAATCGAACACCCTTGGGATGATTTGTCACGCCGCCTTCGTGCAAGGCCTCACTGTCCTACAGAGCTATCGTCACCTCAGTGCAGCACTCCGTGAAGGATGGGCTGCCATTCCCAAAGTAACCTTCTAACACCTGATTGAAAGTGTGCCTGCGAGAGAGGAAGCTGTCATCAAGGCTAAAGGTGTACCAACGCCCTATTGAATTCCACCATTACCGATGGAGGGCGCCAGGGACTGGTAAGTCACTTTCAGCCACGTGTCCGGATACTTTTGATCACATAGTGTAGATACCAACAAGTCACACCTTTACAAGATCTCTTATCGGTGAAGTGTGTGAGCAAAATGTATGAAAACACCCAACGCTAAAGTCAAGCTTCCATTCATAAAACACCAATATCCTTCCACGCGGAATGACTAACCTCCTCCCTGGCCCGTACATAATGAGGTCGAAGCCCCCGCAGCTCTTCCGGGGCACACGAACTCACTCCAGTGCTGTATCGAGAGGTCGACGGGGCGCCGAGCAGCGAGGGCGACGCTGGCGCTGTCATCCCGCGAAACGGGCGCTCGTCGCGCGAATTATTAACGAAGTCTCATTAAAGCGGAATGGGACACCTACGGCTCTTTAACGCGCCGAGAATGGAGCTGTCATTTTTCTCACGGCCGGCGCGCGATTATCTCGGGCACTAAACGCCTCGTCCCTCACCCCCACGTGTTGCCTGAAATTTTACGCAATGAATTATCAATTGGATTGTTCTAAATTGTGGTATGTTTTGTTCAGTAATAACTGGTTGTTTATGCCAGCTTATCATTAATTACTCAAGAATTAATGAGAAATTAAATTAATTTGTGCGCACTGAATTAGCAATTAAATAGTTCGAAGTGCGATCGTATTTGTTATTTTAGTGACAGATAATGGTTGTGTCACTGCACGGGTGCCTAAGACATCTGTCGGCTCCAAGCGAGTTCATTTGAAATTTTGAGAATTGTTGCAAAAAATCATGTCGTGGGACTTGTTCGTACGTCCATTGTCAAATGTCTCGCAAAGGCAAATTCTTCCTTCCCCCATGTTTGGAGATCATTATTTGATTTTCTAACTCTACGTCACCGATTGCATATTCGTATTATGAAAAAATATGTAATTAATATGAAAGTAGTTTTTTTATTTAATAGGTCAGGAATCACAATTTGTTTATGGGTATATTGTGAACTTTTTTATTAGTTACTCATTACAGTTATACTCTTTTCGTTAAAATAATCTTCTGGGGTTAATTACACGACCCAGGAAAAGTAATGTATTTCCTTTTTGAATCATGAAAAGGAAAGGATGGTCTGCTTTGAACTCCACTATTTCCAATTCTGGCGGTGATTCCAGGCTAACTGGAAAATAACTGTAATAACCTGTAAGAGAAATTTTAATAACGCATCAACGGTCTGGCGGAGTCAAATTATTTCTTACTCTATGTTTGGAGATCATCATTTCATTTTGTAATGATTCGCCACTGATTGCATATTAGTGTTATGGAAACATACGTATTTAGTATGACAGTAGTTTTTACCTAATATATCAGGAATCAAGATTGTAAAAATAACTTTTATGGATACATAAATAATTGTTAGTTACTAATTATGGGTCTTTGTACACTTTTTATTAAAATAATTCAATTCTGGGGTGAACCCTATGAGCTAGGAAAAGTAATGCGTTTCCTTTTTGTATCACGAAAAGAAAAGAATGATCAGCTTTGAACTCCACAGTTTCATATTCTGATTCTCAAAACACGTTTTAACATAAGAAAAATTTTAATACTTATATAACGTCAAATTGTGTTGGGGTGTGTAATTCTTAGTGAAAAGTAGGTAGGGCAAATATTTCATATTAGAATTTTAAGGAAAAAGAAGAAAAACAGTTTTTGGCGGTTACCTAAAGAACATTTTTGAAATAGATAACTATATGTTTAGTACTAGTGTATAAAGATCAGTAGTTCGCGATTAGCATACGTGTTTTGTCAAAATTCCATTATCTCAACTATAGAAGTTCGCATAAGTTGTGGATCTTAAATGTGATACACCAATCTGTTGTTTGTGTTGGATAAAGATATTCTTATTGTAGAATGTTTAAGTGTGGGGACGTATAAGCAGACTGTTTTTATTTATTTTAATAAATGCACTCACACGTATTTCGAAATTATAATGGTTTGATTTTATACGTTTAACTGTGTAAATGTCGTTTTCTATTTATAAAATGTAAGAGTGGATCTAGAAAGTAATTTGGAAGGGGTCACCAATTTTATTTTTTTGGACCCTATGAACCGTTTTAATTAGTATCCTTTTCTACATCTAATACTGAAAGAAAATTAGTAAATTCAAATACTTTTTTCGAAATATGATGTGATAGAAAAAACTTTCAGATAAACTGAATAAAATTGTCCCAAAAAATCAATGGCAATGTAAAACATCGCCTCCATTAACTCCACCCCATTCATACCCCCCTACTCTGACGTTAGAGGTACAAATTGCAAAAATATTATATTGTTACATTATTTATCTTAATAACTCATTATTTCTACATTTCATATAATTCAGTTATGTTATTTCTTGGTCATACAACCTATTAAAGTAATGTTTCTACTTCATATACAACTGTCATTTAGTAGTGTATAATAAACTGGCAAGGATGTTCAGGTAGGGATTATACTCTTTCATATTTTCGTATTATTAGAAAGAACCAATTTACAACTGTAAGATAAACAGATAAGAATATTTGAAGGGGCTAAGATTTTGAGGGACACCTTTGTACCTGTGCTTGCTGCCGCTTCGGTGCCACGCTCGTCCATGCCGAAGAACGTCGTCTGTACGATCTTGTTGACGTGCAGAGGCTCGTAAGAAATGCCACTGAGATCAGCACTGGTGTCGAATAGCTCCATGATCCCCAACTGAAAAGTCATAGGCATTCCTCTTCTTAAAAACATGTTGTAATACAGTGACCTCGGAGTCAGGGTGCAATCATTGAGTGGAGACTGTTGGTTTTTAATATTTAAGCACTGCTGCTAAGACAGAATTATTTATAATTGAAATTTAGGATTGATAGTAATGAATCTCATGAAGAAAGCAATGTAATTTGAAAAATATAGGAAATTTATTATTATTATTATTATTATTATTATTATTATTATTATTATTATTATTACTACTATTATTATTATAACTAACAACCCAAGAGAAATTGTTCGTAAAACGAGAAGTACATGGCGATTTACTGCCTCACAGTACTCTCACTAGCAAATGATATTTGCGAATTTACGAAGACCCTTTAGCTTTGTGTGCTCATTACATCTCTGTCTTGATTTAGTAACACATGTTTAAGTTTGATACGTACCTCTTTCAATTTTTCCTTCAGATTGTACTTTGATTCAATTCGTATCTTAGGGATAGACAAAATGACTTTTCTGTAATGTGGAGTAAGCCTGTTGATGTTTAATTGATCCAAACCACCCTCCAGCCGTTGCAGGCCATCCACATTATTTGGCAGCAAAGTGACCATACTCATGCCGGCCTCTTCTGGCTGATGATAAACAATCATTGGTTTTGGTACAAATTATAAAAAGTACGAAAAGTAAGAATTATAAAAAATACTTCCGTTCTTATCATATATTTCTACATCTATGTATTCTACCTACAATTCTTGCTAAAACTACAAAACTACAGATACAGATAAAATTTGTTCTCCTCATTGAGTTGTTTCATTAAGCTCAAGTACAGTGTTTTGCAAATTTTTAGTAGGTTTCGCGCAATATTGCGTGCAATTCCCGCAATTTAAAAAATAACCAAACACGATTTTCTGAAAATGGATCCAATTGTTTTCTTTAAACTTCTAATGAAGATAGGGAATGAAATAGGAATTACTCAGACAAAAACAAAGTGTGCAAACAGACGATGAAGTAAATATTTAACGACTGAGATAGAAATTTAAAAAAATGTATTTGTGTTTTTTTTTTGGAAAAAGAAAAGAATACAGCAATGTGTCGTTTATGTCATTTATCTAGTGTATTTATTCTCTACAATAAAAAACTGACAAAAAAATTAAACTGTTTTTCAAAACATCTTGTTTTAACTTCTTAATATTGCCTATTTTCACTAATAATTGCGCAAAAAACCAAAATTTTCAAATTAATGTACATATGGTTAATTAAAGATATAGTTGTGGAGACTATACTTATTTTTTTAAATCGCTGTCTTAAATATCGTGGTTGTAGGAAGACGCCGAAAAAATTCAAACTTTTGTAATTTTGTAAATTTAAAATCAACCTGGGCGTGTGCTATTTTTATAGATGTATTTCACTCTACAAGAATTTTTTTAAAAACTGAACCATTTTTTAGAAAAAAAATGAAAATGTTCCAGGAGCCTCAAGAAAAGTACCTTCAAACTTGTTTCTCAAAATTACTGAACATTGACTCGGACCAGATCGACCGGTAAAATTTATTTTTTTTAATCGTTTTAATAGTTCGGGCGATGGAATTGTTCATAGGGGACAGACGGGCGGATGAACGGACGTTTTGCCGTAAACCAAGTTGAATTGAATTGAATTGAATTTGCCTTATTTTACGTGGCGAGACTCGGGCCATTAGGCCCGCTCTTCCGTCTGACCACGCAAATTTCGCTACGCTCCTTTCACCAACTAGCAGAGAAAGGTGGTATTTCTTGGGCGAGAAACAGGCGATTTTGAATTTAGCTCAGAGGCATCATTTAGGCTTGAGGATCTTTTACATGCAAGTAAATCTACGAACATGGGACAGCCGGCTTTACTTCCCCTCCGAAGGAAGGCGTACGAAGGATTTTTTCGACCTTAAAAATCCACGGCTTCGATCGGGTTTGACCTTGGGTACAACAGTCCAGTACGCTAACAGTTACACCATCGCCGCCGCTTGTTGTCGTTAGTTGTTGTCGGTATCACGAACCCCCAATTGTCAAAAATGTGTACACGCCGTATTAGAGCCGATCCGGTGGTCGAGATCGCTAAGCCAGTAGTGCCGTAGCGATCTCGGACCGAAGGATCGCAGGTTCGAGTCCCACCTCGGACATGGTTCTATTGTGTTCGTCCTTTCACACCCCTCTCATCATCATATCGCGTCATCCTCACAGTTACTATACCGTTACAAGCAATAGTGGTCGCTAATGACCTAGTAGTTGATGCAACCTTAAATAACAAAAAAAAGTGTTAGAGAAAGAATTTACTGCAAGTTAGAAAATGTATTTATCCACTTTTTTTGAATCTGGGATACACAACATGCGTTTTTTGTCAACAGCTATATAACAGCTAACATTCCCTGTATACATACATTACTCTGTACTCTGTACATACGTGCGTATATGAGCAAATAAAAATAGTTGGAAAGAGAGAAACTCACCGCAAAAGGCAGTCTCACAGCTATCGCGTTGACTTCCGGCAACTCCCCGTAGACGAGTTCGAAGGTTCCGTGCATGGTGGGGACATACACTCGGAAGGTCGGAGACACGTGGAAAGCTGAATGGTTTGTTTCCGATTTTAGGAACGGGTTCTCCCAACCCGCTTTAAAGTACATTGCGTTGACGAGCAACAATCGAGCCAATTCAGTGATTGCACCTGAAAAAAAAGACATTGCCAAAATTATCACACTCCAACTCCCTTTTTAGGTTAATGCAGCAAGTTTTTTTCTGTTAATTGAAAGCACTATAAAGTGAATCAGTATTTCTCGGATAGGATAAAGTAGGAAACGTTTCCCATTAGCATTCTACAGTAAAATATTTATTTCCTATCTTGAACGTTCATACAATAGTAGACTACAATAGTATGCTCTCCAAACATAATTATTAGACGACTAGAGCAATAACTTAATCGGCAGATTGTGGAACTAATAGTCCTTTATGAACCAATAACGTTATAAAAGTTCAAATTATCGAGAGGTGAAAAAAATGCCCGAGGGCCTTGGCCCGTTGTCGCCCGAAATGAATAAAATCAGTTAACGCCCGGGGTCTTGTTAATCGATTAGAAAAGTTTATAGTGTTTGAAGAATAACACTTAAACCAAGGTTTCTCCCACAATTTGCTCGTACACAAAGATTATCAATAAGCTCTCTCAGGCATTATTTGTTCTCGTGAAAGTTCATAACGAGAACCATCCATTGCACGCAGATATGTCAATCGGAATAAGCGAAAGAGACTACACTTTGTATACGTTTTGCGATGTTTCAGCCAACCAGAGAGATCAGTGCTGAAGGAAGCAGGGGGGACGAGTGATTGTGGTTCAGGGCACGTCAACAGCAAAGGTCAATTGTTCCGTAAGTGTAGTGCCTGTTTTCCTCGGGAAATGGCAGTGATCTTCCCCCGCTGGATGATGAGGTCCAGCTAAACGTACCATCGGATAATGGGATTTCCCCCAACCAGGGGCACCGCCTTAGCCAGAACAAGCTCTTAAGCTTTCGCCCGGGCTCCCAGCATGTGCGTAGGGTATTGAATGAAAGTGTAAAAATATATATGAGGATAGAATTAGGAAGAGGAAGAAAAGATCATGCCGACCGTGGCTCGTTTGTAAGGGCGGGGGACGCAGACCCATTGGGTCCGGAGCCAGGAGAGGAGGTGAGGACGGTGAGCTTACGTGGCGGGAGGTGGGGATTGGCAATGTATGGCCAGGTAGCACCTTCCTCGAAGAGGTCCTTGATCTTGCCCGCCGTGTTCTGCTCCACCCACGTGTTGATGGCGCGCCGCGAGGCGTCGGTGGCGTTGACGAAGTCTAGCTCCTCGGCGCCCGCGCGGAAGCTGCCGGTGGCCGTGCTCCTGAAGGACTCCTTCAGCCCCAGGCCGGCGTGCGCGTACAGCCGATTGGCCGTGCGGAGTACCGCCTCGCCGTTGTTCTGCAACACATTTTTCCGTATCAAAAATATCAATAATTTAAATGTTAACCTTACAGATGTCTTTATCGCATGGTAAAGGACGTCAAAAGACGATATTTTATACCTGAATGAACAATGCTCAATGCTACAAAATCCTTTTTGGAAATTAAGTCTTATGCTGGATGCTACCTCACTATTCCACCACTACCGCGAGGAGTAGACTTCCGCAGGCTCCCACATAGAAGGCCGCTATAGAAGGCCACTGCTGAAAGCCACTACTAAAAGCCACTACTAAACGCCACTATTGAAAGCCACTACTGAAAGCCACTACTGAAAGCCACTACTGAAAGCCACTACTAAATGCCACTACTAAAAGCCACTGCTGAAAGCCACTACTAAAAGTCACTACTAAAAGCCACTACAAAAAGTCACTACTGAACGCCACTACACTGAGGAGAATGTTCCCACTTCTTGCCTTTAGGAGATCCCCTCTTGACACCCCATAGTTTGCAGCAGACGTCTGTGCCTCCGTTCATCTAAAACACATTATGTTTATTTGTATTTAGCCATCACGTGTCCGGGGAGGAAGCGTCGAAATTTGAAAAATAAGTTCTTAAGACAATTTTAATAATATTTTCTCTAATAAACTACTAAGTTGGTTAGAAAAACTTCTTTGTAGGTCAAACTTTGCATTGCAGAAGCACGGAAAGACCTCAGAAACATGTGGTTTGTTTATTATTTACAAAAAAAATTAATATATTTGTTCAGAAAGAACAAAATAAAATAAATGAAATAAATCCAATTTACAAAATTCGTCGGCTTTGTTATTTCTGGGTTAATTTTTTTAGTACAAATATATTCACTTCTTTTGTAAATAATAATTTACACGTGTGGTTCTGCATTTTTTGTCTCAAAATATTTTTTTTTAAAACCAACTCTTGAGTGCTTATTGTGACTTAGCCATTTGGAATATGCAAGTAGTGTATCAAACAAAATGGCATGAAAATTTGTCTAAAGAGCTTATTGTTGAAGTTTTGACGTTTCCTCCTCGGACACCCTGTATGTCCTGTGAAGGGCAATTGGCCCCTGCGCCGTAATATTCCCCTACCCCGAATAGGAACTCACGATCTCTTGAATTTGCTTAACCGTCGTGACTGCACCTACTTCACGAATTCGGCTCGCGTTGCCTGTATCGCGGTTGTGACCCTTCAGCACATCCATCCCAGCATTCGCCTGGGAAGTGTTTTCCTTTTCATTTGTTTCTCAGTGATCTGCCATCATGAATGCAATTTTGAATAGCAGGTTCTGACTCAGCACCTGCAGCGAGGTGAGCCCAGAGTACCTGCAGCAAGTCCAGGAGCGCACGGTAACTTCGGGCTGTGGTCCTTCGGTCAGCTGCAGGGCGGAGGCGATCTGCTGCTCAGTGGCGCCCGCGGCTCCGTGGCGGGTGAGCGCCAGCAGCACTGCAGCGCTCAGCGGGGAGATCACCACGTTGTTTGCGTTTGTCTTCACCGCCTAAACACGTAATACGATCATTCGCAATCACAGCTTGAATTTAGAAAAGGGTATTGACCTCCCACGAACTTCAATTCTTTATCAGTGACACATGAAAGACTCGAGACAAACGAAGCGATAGTGATTTCATTGACATTTATTTGGATAGAGTAGAAATGTTGTTGGAACAAAGATTTTGATAAATAGAACGTTTACGTAAGATCGTTCTGAGCGGCTCCTAGAAATTGCATTACGTTGTTGGTGGGGGTGCTCGCGTGGCCTCATGATCATTTGGGCTCTGCCGGCAGTAGCGTGGTTACCAGCAGGGCCTCCCTTGCCGGACAGCTCAAAGATAAAGATCCAGACGAACAAGCAATCCAGAAGAAAAATCCGCTCCTCGCTGCGTCGTGCGAAAGGCAATTTGGGTGATATCCACATGCCGGAAATATCGGTTTTTCCCACAAGCACTCTCCCTACTCCTGTAAACCACAAATGCAAACTTCTCTTAGTGAAGATATCCAAATAGGAAATTAAAAAAAATAGTAAAGGGTTATTCCGAGACCCGCATTTGCTTGAGGATGGCCAAGTAAAGTCATTGTACGTAACATTGTACCCGTCGAAACCCTCGAAAGACAAAAGTCGAACAGAAAGAAAATAAATTTTAAAAAAAAGAATCAGTAAAACCTAGAGTGTCATCTCGAATGAATTGACCTGCAGGCTTGGAATCAGTAAGATGGCGAACCCATCGCCAAGCTAAATCTGCGCAGCGCTCGTAACAGGGCCAGGGGAATTAACGTATTACTGACAGAAAACATAATAACCTCGGAAATGGAGTCAATGACAGCACGGATCGAAATAAACGAATCAAATGGATTGCGTAAAAATTAAGTTTAAGTTTCCTGGAACGTTAGATCTTTTACAGGTAAAGAAAATGAATTTGCAAGTGTTGAAAAATAATAATGTAGTTATATCAGTCATATCTGAGATGAAGAAGAAACTTCAAAGCACTAAATACGTAGATCACTATATCGAGTTCTACAATGGCGTGCCACAACAACAACAACAACAACAACGCGTCAGTTAGTGTAGCAACGTTAGTAAATGAAAAGTTAGAAAGTAAAATAAGGAGCTACAAATACGTCTCAGACAGGATCATCTCGGTACGTCTGAAACATGAGAGTGGAAATCTTATAGTAATGGGAGTATATGCTCCAGAAGGTGTGAAAAATAAACCCTTCTTCCAATAAGAATTAAGAATTCATAAAAATTTCCATTAGGGATAATACAGAATAAGAAGGACATTGCTTAATAACCTCGAAATTTAGTACTCTTTAAGCATTTATAAGGCGATATGTTGGATGGTCTTCAGTTCTGGATGTCTATTTTATATGCGAAATTATCCCCACCAAACCCAAGACTTAGAAACCTACTCTCCATTCCTTTCTCACACATCACATTTACGTATCGTAAACAACTCAGCTATTTAGAATTGCACGATTGTGTTCCTCCCATGGTTATTTAACTTTGCTATTTGCTTGTCTGCTCCTGCCAGTGGTGTGTTATGTATTTTGGGTTCAACTAACATCTGCAAGAGCTAAATATCTGAACAATACAAAATCAAGCTCTTAATTAAGCTGTTCGTATTAAAAAAAACTGGCACCATTTAAATTTCATTATGACATTCGAGAAAATGTGGTCAAAATTTATTAAACAAGTAATGGCATTTTCAAGAATTTCAATCTCTCACAATGCATGATGCATTAGTTTTACTTCATAGAATACTGAGCTCACAGCGTTGCAGGTCAGTCACGCCTATCTCTTCTACGAATATTAGTTCAAGGGTAAGAGATAAGACAACTTCAAATAATTTCTTTAGACCAACTGTACAGATTCCACTAAAGAATGAAAAATCGACATTTGTTTATATAAATCATGCACAATTTCTATTAACACATTGTATTTGTAACAAAAATTGTTGATAAAGATTGTTGATGCAAATAAAATAAACAAAAACAAACAAGCAATTGTTTCAAACTACAAATTACGGACCACTCCGATATCTTCTTTCCACAATACATCAATAATTTGCTAATCATGTGAAAGTGAACTAATAGATCCAAACAATACTCACGAGTTTCGTTATTAAATTATATATATTAATAAATTAAAATGTGTAGTATTGTCCCACAGTCAGACTTCGAACTGTTCAATTTTAACAAATGTTCAAGGTTTTGAATAAAAGACATATTACATAATTTTTGGTAAGATCCCAGCGAATTACATATTAGGTATGTCATTTTTTACCAATAGTTGAATAATTATGATTTTCGATATATTAAATTTTAAAATTAAATTTAATGTTGAAAATAAGATATATGTATTTGGAAAGAGTTGGAATATATGTATGTGTATGTGTGTGTGACTGTTTAAATTTTAAAGAGGGTTAAAAATAGGATAACATCCAGTTTAATTTTTTTTTAATCCAACTTAATTTAACATCCAGTTTAATATCCAGTTTATGCTTCTGACAATCACCTTTTGTGAATGATTAATACCTATTTATGGTTCCACGTTGGCTATTCTATTGAAGCTCACCTGGTAGAGCCGCAGGGAGAAAGTGTTGGCTGCAGTCGCCACCGCTTGCCTTGCAGCCGCTGTCGTCGGCCTGAGCGTCGGTGTGGATTGTCCCAGCGCTGCAAGCGCTGCAACAACCGCCCACACATAAATCAACAATGTACATCAGAGACATTTTTTTCACTAATACTATTATTGTTAATAGTAATATTTTCCCTTAAATTCGCGAACACAGACGTGAACCACAACATCTACTGTGACAGCGGGGAAACGTATAATAATACATACAATACGTAATACAATAACGTGTCATTAATAATACTGTATCCAATAACTAAAAAACACATATAATTAGAAGTTTAAAAATGGGATAATATACTGAAATTAATCAATATTAACTTACTCGTTAAGTAATATATATATATATATATATATATATATATATATATATATATATATATATATATATATATATTTTAAACGGAGTTGTCACCAAGAAAATAAAGATGTGTATTTCTGTTGTATTTGTGCTGGGGGTGGGAATTACGAGTCCTTCGCGTATCACATCAATATCATAACCCATCCATAATCTTTTGATCAGCGATTTTTAGACGCCCGCATAGGACCTGGGAATAGGGTAGAGGCGAAAACAATAAGGCAGCTCGGATGGAAACGAAACTGGAACTACATACAGCGAGAAAGTTTGTGCCAGTTAGCAAAACCATTATACACATTTTGGTGCCCGTTATAAGTGTTGTAAAGGACGTACGGTTTCAATTGTTTTCTGTTAATGTACAGAAGTGAGCACAGTTCTGTTAGTGTACAGGGAAAGGTGGCTCATGGCATCAATTTATATCACTGCAGTCCCTTCCACCGGGAGGTAGTAGATTCGAGTCTAGACGGTGACAGGGTATTTGGACACTGGCTTGTCAGCAAGGTTGGATTCAGCCGCTGTCGGGATGATAATTCTATAGGTGGCTGCTCAAATCTATGGTTTCTCCAAACAACACCATGCGAATGCCGAAGCAGTACCTTAATAAATGGTCCGCGCGCGATCTTTCCTTCCTCTTCTTCCTCCTATCCTCTCCCCTTATGTACACATACATTTGCATGCTCTATATCACCACACATGCCGCGAGATCGGTCGGGAGCTTAGATCTTATCTCGGCTGGGACAGTGCCCAGCTGGTGGGAGATACCTGGTTGGGGAGAACCCCGCAAGCCGACGGTAGGTCGGCGCCGGATCTCACCATCCAGTATCTCTCAAAGACAAATCATGCACTACACTTACGAGACAGATGACTTTAGCCTTTGACGCGCCCCGAATCACTACCAATCAACCAATTGTCATTTCCATTTCTCCTTGTGCATTAGTTGTGTTGTAAAAATATCACTCACCCGCTGCTGCGATAATCACTCGTATAGCTCGCATGATGATGAATATCTTCACGTGGACGGAATGCTATAGAGAGAGGCTTCCTCATTCTCCTCTTATTCTCTGCGATGACGCACCACGCGACCTGACGGGCAGTGCTCCGACGTCCAACGCTTGCCGAGTCGCCCTGGCCAGTCTGTAGCGCAAATTCCGTCTTGGCTGGATGAACGAGGGCAATGCGATGCTATTTCCACACGACCTATTGCTATCGGTTTTCTCAGAAACGAATACGACGTGCCCGTTGAATTCTTGGAAATTAAACTCTAGAACATTCATTAAAAAAAACAGAAGACGTTCAAGTCGAATCAATTAATGAAGAAAAGACGTGGAGAATTTCTTCTACAACATGAGTTGGCTGATAGGCAGGCAAAACAACCATTTCTGCGCAAGCTATGGTTATCACTTTTCTGAAGAACAAGCACTGCGTACATGTTTATGCGTTGTTAAGAACTTTCATTTGATATCGAATAAACTCATTAAACGACGATAAGACTTTCGAGAATTCTGCACAGACTATCGTGTTTCTTGAACCAATTTTTGTTATATTTTAATTAATTTCTTAGTTTATATCTTGTTTTAGGTCTTCTACTAGCATCATCTTTTTACTTTCTCGCATACGCACTGTAGAGAGAGTATTGTAATGATGCGGGATTTAGATTTTAGATTTAGATTTTGATTTATTCAGTAAAAAAACAGTAAAAACTCCGTGACGGAGGGGGAAAAGATTATCTGCGCACGTTTTCTTGAGTTCCAGAAACCCTTCCCGTCATTTTAACTATAAATAGTTGAAAGATGAGTAAAAGTTTAACATAAATAAATAAATATAAATTTTAAAAGTAGCGAGATTAGCAATATTAAAAAAAATAGTCATTTTCGTTTGATTAATAGAAAACTTATTTCCATCGGTACACGAATTGCAAGTATGATTTTTCTGTATTGTTAGCAAAATAGCAACTCATTCTTACCTCTACTCTTACCATTGTAAGCAAAAGGAGAGTTCAACAAAACGAGCGCATAGTGAAGCTACATTTACGTCCTGAAGCAAAACAAGGGATCATCTCAGCAATTGCTGAGCAATTGATCAGGGAAACTGGAAAAAAACCTGACCGAGATGAGGGAAATTGACCCGGAAGCTGAAGTACATTATTTGTTACAAACATATTAAGTCTTTAAAAAAAATATGCAATACGAATGTAAACTAATTAATCATGTATTACTGTGTTGTTAAAATAAACATTATTTTTCTTTTTGACAATCAGTGTAGTCTCTAATTGTATAGAAACAGTTATGCAGCAGAAAAGATTTTACTTTTAACTTAAATTTGTGAACCGACATCAATTGTTTAATGTCATCTGGCAGTGCGTTGGAAAGTAACGTACATATATTGTATGTGGATTTCTGATAGTGAACTGTTGATACTGACACTTGATGAACGTACTTTTTACGATGTGTGTTGTAATTATAAATATCAGTATTGCATGAAAATATGTTCCCACCATTAAGTAAGTCACTTTTCACAAATATTGATTGGGAGAAACTGATTTTTCAATAGCAAAACCTTGTACCGGACTCTAGTACTGAAAACTAGATAAATCTTGTTCCTGCACGTATTAAACGACTTCTAATACGATGCATTGACTTAATGCATGGCTTTGGGATCAATGATACCGAAAACTCGAATGACGGTAAGACGTCTGTCAGGCTGTGGTGCCATAACCGTTCATACGACTTTCTAGAAAATTAATATTCCTCGATCAATTTAAAAGAACTAGAGACCCTACGAGTTAAAACGGAGTTTTTGATTATGGAGATTCTCAATATTTGAAATTGATGTAATTGATTGAAAAAATATTTTCAATATTTGTCAATCAATTTCCAATAAAATATCGATATTCTCAAAAAAATCTCTGAATTTTTTTATTAAACTTTATCCTCGAGTGACGCAAATTACACTTCAAAGATACAATATTACGTAACCGCGTGAAATGTGAGTAGTTTTGAAATGTGAAACCGCGTGAAATGTGAGTAGATATTGGAGAGATTGATTTTATTTATTTATGTTATTTATTAAATTGTTTGACGTTATATACATATGTGTGTGACATACTACGGAGAGACGTGTATTTTGTGCACATCCTCTTAAAATCTGAGATTGCTATCCTACCCATATACAAGCTAAATTGTAAAAACAAATGGAAATGGGCGTTTGTGTGGTGACTTCATAAGCCAAGCGAATCGTCTATTGTTACTTTAACACTGCCGAGTTGGCAACAACGGGCATTAGCGACAGACGTCACTGCCTACGCCGCCGCAGCTGGGTCGAATTTTTTACTTTTAATTTTTAAATCTAAACTACACATTTAATAGTTAGATGCGTAGATATATTAGCTTTTAAAGAACTCACACCTAATGTTCAACGATCTGTAATGAGTTTGAGAAGTGGTGACAGAGATGTGTCAATATGAAGACCCAGGCCGTACCAAGGGCGAGAAAGTACATGCTGTTATACCACCATTATTAAAAATTAATGTTGCATATTCGTGAAACGCAGATATTTTTAAACCATTACTTTCTAAGGAACGGCTTCTTTATTTTTTTTCCACAAGTATATCAGTACAATAAAAATCCTAATTGTGTTGATTTTGTGTTGGTAAACTATCTATTTTCGGGAATTGCAAATAATTAATATTGCAAAAGAATATAGAAGATATAAATGATTATCTTTTATATAATTAAATATAATTATTTATTGTACTATTTAAAATTAATGTGCCGTATTAACACTGTACTGAAAATAAGAAAATGATCAGTAAGGGTTTTAAATACCTTTGCACATATTGGTAGCAACAAATCAGCTCGATTAGTAAGTAATGAGACTGAAGTATAACAGCCGCTGCTAAACGGTAGCTCTTGAGCCACTGGTAGCTTGCGGGGATATTTCAGACGCAGCGTTTATGTTGGCTAACCTGCACTTCTCATCCCCACAATGCGCGCGCGTCTGTCAAGTGTCAGTCAGTGTCTGGTGTGTGATAGTGAGTGCAGGTTATTTTATTTTTCATGTGTTTTGTGCAGACTTCGGACTGCGGTTACTGTTCTAATAATGGCGAGTTCAAAAAAAACTAATAATTTTCATGTTCAATGGGAAACTGATTACTTTTTTATTCAGATAAAGGGCAAATGTCTGTGCTTAGTTTGTAATGCACGTGAAGCGGTTTGGAAAAAATCAGATGTCATTTCAAAACAGTTCACTTCAGCATTGAAAAGGAGTTTTCTCGTAATTCTTCCTTAAGGAAAGAGACGGTAATACAAATGAAATCTCAAATGCATGCGCAACAATATTTTTTCAAGGAATTACCCAGCAACAAAGCAGCAACTGAGGCATTTTTTCGTTTACAAAATTCTTACTAGAAATAAAAAACCGTAAGAAGATGGTAAATTAATCAAAGAGGCATTTTTAGGAGCTGAAAATGCATTATTTGACAAATTTTAAAAACAAAGATCGGATAATGTCTGGTATTCAATCTGTTCAACTGTCTTCAAAAAGAGTCATGAGAAGTGTTGAATTAATGAGTTCTGATGTAGTTGTCATTTAAACAAAAACATATTTTATTTTCCTACTTTGATGGGTAGATCACTGTAAGGTTTATGACTGTAAGGTAGCTCATTCGCTTAAAATTTTGGCTTAGTATAATAATGTATACGAAGAGAATTGGTACATTAAAAGGAGAAATAATTATTAAATTGTGAAGAATGTAAAATTTACTTTCTGGCTCTCACTTTCAGCTAAAGGTTTCTTTAAAAATTGTCATAGACGAGAAAAATCTGAAAAATTTCTGAAATTAGATAATTGTCTAACATGTATAAGGATGGCCACGAAAATAACATTTAATTTCAAAGACAACAGAAGAAAAAAATATTTAGAATCAAATATACGAAAAGCCGGTGCGGATGGCCGAGATCGCTAAGGCAGTAGTGCCGTAGCGATTTCGGACCGAAGGATCGCGAGTTGGAGTCCCACCTCGGGGCATGGTTGCATTGTGTTCGTCCTTTCACCCCCTAACATCATATCGTGTCATCCTCATACTTACCATACCGTCACTCGCAATAGTGGTCGCTAACGACCTAGAAGTTGATGCGACCTTAAATAACAAAAAATATATACGAAAGCAAACAAAGTTAAACTCGCATTAGCGCCCTTAAAACACCAATATTCTATCAGGCGGAATGACTAACCTCCTTCCTGTCTCGTACATAATGAGGTCGAATCTCTCGCAGCTCTTGCGGATCACACGAACTCACTCCTGCGCTCGCATCGGGGGCGGCGACGCAGCGAGGGCGACGTTGGCGCTGTCATCCCGCGAAACGGGCGGTCGTCGCGCAAATTATTAACGAAGTCTCATTAAAGCGGAATGGGACACCTACGGCTCTTTAACGCGCCGAGAGTGGAGCTGTCATTTTTCTCACGGCCGGCGCGCGATTATCCCGGGCACTAAAGCCTCGTCCCCCCCCCCCCCCACGTGTTGCCCTTCTGGCCCCGCGCGGGGCGGCACCCGGTTTCTATCCGGACAAAAATAGCTGCTCTGGAGGAACGGATTTGTTTGTATACCGATCAGACCTTACGGCCTGACAGCTTTTCTTTACGTATTGATTATAAGTTAACTTCGAGAATTATTTCATACTTCACTGAAGATTATTTATTTGTGGAGCGAATAGTTACTACATTTTGTATTTAGAACATGTTCGTTAAGTTTCGTTCGAAATAAGTGTCTGAGATTTTTATGAGAAGAAAAGTTTTGAAGGGTATATAAGTAATTTTTAAGTAATTATTTTGTTAAAAAACGAATCCAATTTTTTTCTTTAAATTTTGCAAAGGAAGGAAAGATTCCCAACGGTCCTGCATTCACTTGGTGTTGATTGAAGAAACCACGCAAAACTACCGATAAATGGCGTTGGCCGCTAGAATTCTCCTCTGAGAACAGTTTATTTGTGTATATTTCCTTAGACTGGTGTTATTGGTAATAGTTGATGACTTCACGACCACAATATTCTAGGAATAATTAATAGCTGATGGTCACGCAATAAAAATCTAAGTTGGCATACTTTTCGGTTTAATCAATTGATTAGTGATTCCGGATGAGTGAACTGCCAAGATC